ATTGATAATTTCTTAAAGCAGCTTGCTTTAAAGGGGGAGCTCTTTTGTTAATCCTACTTTTAAACTTCAAACTGTGTTGTGGCAGCTGCTGACCGGGTGGGGGATCCTTCTGTGGACATGTTGCAGCAGCTGCTGGCTGGGTCGGGGATCCTTCTCTGGAGAGCACAAAACTTCTCTACACTTTAACTGGTCCAGAGGCTGCTTTACTATGTGTCTTATTCCTGCACCACTCCCGAGCCTGAAGCTTCTTTTAGCCTTTTCTACTTTCCCTTTTATTTTCAGTGCTAAAGTGTTTCTCAAGCCATTCCCAGGAAACATCTTCCTCTTATGGTTTTGCCAGTTCAGCTCAGGGGAGCCAGATCCCCCTGCCTTGCCAAAGTACATTTAACTGGTGCAACACTGAGCCTTCTTGGTTCCACATCTCACTTTCTAATTCAGGAAGAAGTGCAGTTTGCTCACGTCACAGAAGTAGGTCACTGGAAAAATTGTCTCTTCCATGAACTTTTTTTGAGCATTTGTCCTTGGAGCAAATGTCGTGCCTAGAACATACTAGATGTGTGGGGGTGTCCGTCCTTTTTTTCCCCTGCTGCATATTGGAAGAAGAGTTGTCTTGGGCCACACGTTAAACACAAACACTGACACAAGCTGATGAGCAAGAAAAAATGTCCGTGCAAATTTTTTACACTTATCTGACACCATAGATCAGCAAAAACAGTCCTTAGATGATTTACATGTGGTCCACAGGTTAGACAAGAGGCTCAAAATGAATTAAGTGAGTAGCTGGGCATCTGCACAGCTACTGTGTCCGGGTGTGAGCACACATCTTACTCACGGCTCAGTTCCATCAGCAGCAGCAGGCTGTCCAGTCATTAGGAACAACAAGCAGATTTTAACAGTCAAATCGAATTTCTCAGCAGACCGTAGCAAGGACTCTCCAGAATACCCTCCTCCCCAGCTCTACCAAGTATAGACCATCTCAAAGTCATATGGAAATACTTGGGGGGGGTGGTCTGCTGTGCTGTGTGACCTCACCCTTGTGCTCTGCAGTACTGGGGCTGACCCACAGCTACTGCAGCAAGCTTGTGCCTTATGGTTTTGTAGATGGAGAGCTTTTTATGTCTCTCTGCATTTAATGTGAAGAAAGATGTGATGCGGCATGCATTAAAAGGCTCGCATAATAGGCCTGGAAAGAACTGATACCTCCTCCTAAAAGAGGACTGTATCAATTTAGTGCAATGCTTGGGATGAAAACTGTTAATTCGTATTACTGAAAAGAAAACTGCCGATGATAGGAGGTCACTGGTTTAAAAAGAAAAAAGAATCTGGGGGGGAAAGTCTTTGACTATTTTAATTTACCACTTATTTGTTTTTATTTAAATTTTGTATTTCTTGTACCTATTTCAAATTTTGTAGCTTTCTGGGAATACATACATTTTATTGTAGGTTTTCAGTTTGATTAGTATATTGTGCTTCATAAAACTATTATTTTTAAAATTTTTTGTTAGTTCCTTCATATTATTCTTTGTGTATATTTGCATCTTTCTTCCACTTTCCTCCTTCGTTCCCTCTCTTCACTTCTCCCTCCTGTTTTTTTTTTCTTTCTTTAATCGACTGTGCCAGAGATTTTATTAATCTTTTTAGCTTTTCACTTTGTTTCTTTCTGTTTTCTAATTCCTTGATTTCTGTCCTTTTATTATTTCCTTTCATATTCTTTCTTTGGGTTCGCTCTGTTCTTTTTGATTCCAACTGTATGCGTTGAGTGCTTTATTTTTTAAGAAAAGTATTTGTATTGTTGTATTGAATCTGATTGTTTTTCTCAGAAGGGTTTCCAGCAGAGGAATTATAGAATAAAAACCACAATGTTTTCCAGGTTCTTGATAGACATGCCAAGCCCAGCCCACTCTTGAGGACCATACAAACTAACACTTCTGTGGGAGGGTGCCACAATCTTTCCGTATTACTTCTCAGCAAGCTGAATATTCTTTACTCC